CTGGGAGAACATGTCATCCGCTTCTTCGTCTGAAGCTTGAGTCCGATGCATGGTAGGAAACCGACCAATACAATTAGTGTGCCCACAATAAAACCCTCGAGCCGCCACTCTCCTGAGGATACATAGGTAGAGTGGTGCCCAAGGTGGAACCGGGGCCTAACCAACTCAAGAAAGGGCACGAAGCCGCCACGCATAGCCCCTACCATACAGGATTTTAGAAAGTGCACAGGGACTTCACGTGCACACTTACCATATCATGGATTTTAAAGATACTGTTCTAAGGGGCCCTCGTGGCACTCTGAAGGAGCAGACCATAGATGGAAATGGTGCATCCCAAGAACAATACATCTGAGAAGCACCAACTCATCCTCATGGTATAATGTTGGAATGGCTAGCAGTAAGTTACCTAGCTGAGGGAGCATAACCCCCAGCTCTCAGCCGAGAGGGGGCTCGACCTACAGCATGTTCATTAGAAATCCTGAAGGGTAAGTGTACTGCAAGCTTAGCCAAAAATGCAGCACATCAGGGAGGCAGAGGAAGGGCCTAGTTCGCCTGATGTTGCCAGTTCCAGGTGCTCTGGGAAAACAGATAACTCAACTCCCCACGTGAGAGGAGAACTCCGAATTCAGAAAAGCAGAGAACTTGAACGCTCGGAAGAAAGCACCATGCTCATAAATAACCCTCTACCCTCACTGTGCGATGCTTTAAAAGTGTATCAACAGAGACAAACTAGTTGAGTGGAGCCCAAGGTGAGTACCGGGGCCTAAGCCAACTCAGAGAAAGGGAACGAGGCTAACAACGTGTAACCCTTACCATACAGGATTTTAGAAAGTTGGCAGAGTGCTTAGCGTGCACACTTACCCCCATGTGGATTTTAGAAAGTGCGCAGAGTGCTTAGCGTGCACACTTACCACCATGTGGATTTTAGAAAGTGCACAGAAGCTTAGCGTGTGCTCTTACCATAGTATGGATTTTATAGAGAGCTGCTCACAGATGCCCAGAAGTCCTCAGCCACTCAATCGGGAGCGGCAGGCTCAAAGACAGCCCTCTGAGGTGAGGGGAGCACTGCCTGAATTGACCCGAATAGAGGCAGCTTATCAGGGAAGCAGCAAGCGGCCCAACTACCTTATGTCACTGCCACGGAGCGATTCCTAGCTAACCCTCACAGAGAGGGGAGCACTTCTTAGTTTGACCACAAGGCGGCGCTAGATTAAAAGGGGAAACCCAGCAGGGCCCAATAAGAGACAGTCCCCTGGTGCAGCTGGACACTGTCTCATGCTCTCTATCTCGATAGAGAGCGTGGGTCCCGTATGACCAGACCCGATAGAATCTGAAGAAATAGCGGGACCCAATAACCATTCATGCATATAGAGCTTACAACTCCTCAGAGCAGAAGCACAAAGGAGGGGTTTCCCACAGAAACACAAATCCCTCTTACCTCAGGGAACGCAGTGTACTCCAGCCCACTCCACAGAGGGGTGATTATTGGTTCAACCATAAGGGCAGTGTGACAGTGAGGACCCACGGGCCCGACCGTCTATGGAGAATTGAACTCAGAGAACGTGCATGAAGGTTAAGGAACGATTCAAATCTCGGGAGACCTCTCAGGGTGAGAAATGAGTAGTTTGCACCTAGCCAGAGGATAGGGAGCATGTCGCGAAGCATGTGCTCAGAAGAATACTAGCCCACGAGAAGGACCCACAGGTCCTGAGGTTGCAGCGTTATACTGGGGACCTGATGCTGGGAGACTTCCTCAGAAGCCCAGGCTGCGTGTCCAAGCCAAAGATGAGGGCTATCACCAGCCTGGAACCAGAACTGATGACTGAAACCATCACTGTAATCGGTCAACAGCAGGAGGTCCTGACTTAGCAGGTGGGTCAAACCTAAAGTCAGAAGAACAGAACAGGCCCGAGTAGCGCTGCAGAGAAAGGATAGCATCAAATACACAAGAACTAGCCTGGACCCTCGTGAAATGAAGGATTTAAAGGCCTCCTATAACCTCACGACCACCGTCTCAACGGAAGTGCCGAGAAGCTCAGAAGGGGAAACCGGCGCATCAAGAAGAAAGCCCTTCTCTTTCGACCCGATAACCACCAGACTCACCCACAGATGTCTCTCCATAACCACCATGGCTGCCATTTTTTGGATCTGCCAATGGCAGTGGCGGTCTGCTTAGCGGCACGAAGAGCAAGATCCGCGGTGCGACGCAACTCAGCCACCTCATCAGGGGATAGACCCTGCCTTTATCCAGGTCTTTGAGCAGATCAGCCTGAAAAGCCTGAAGCACCACCATGGTGTGCAACGAGACTGCAGCCTGACCTGCTGCCGTGCCTTAAGAGAAGATGTCTCCCCCATGGAGAGATAGCAGGCAAGCGTCTCTTCAACAGGTGGCATCTTCTCATAACCATTCTCATGCATCCCCTCGATGTTGGCATAACTAGTATGCTGGAATCCCGCGGGAGCTAAACACGCTCTGCCCAACCGCTAGATTACCTCAGAAATCAAGCACGAACGAAACCTGCTGCTGCGAATGCATCGCTATTCCCGCGAGAGGAAAACGCACTCATGCAAACTCTATCTACAAACTCGGGTAAATGGTGAAATACTCACATCCCCCTCAGTAGTCCCGCAAATGCATCACAATGAGCACAAGCTGCCTCCTCGTCAAACGAGCGCGTTCAATTCATGCTTATCTCTCACAAGAACTAAGCAATGAATGCAGAGCGCATCCAACTCCCTCGAGAGCTGAACGCGCTTGCTCTTCACCACACACAGCACGCGAGCCGTGTGAAACTGCAGGTATCAGAGCAAAGCCTCTGGTGAGAAACATGCACTCCTAGTCATGTTTAGCTTAACATTAACATAAACAAACGGTCAGTGAAGACGAAGAAGAGGATGACGTGTTTTCCCGGCACCTATTTATACTATAGTCACACCGGTAGTGAATAGGGCTGCACGATTAATCGAATGCGATTGTCATGCGCATTTTGTTAGTAAAGCCGGTTCTGTAATCAGCAGTAAATCATCATCACGTGCTTTCAGATTACGCAAAAAAACTTTCTTTTTTTTTTATTGCGCAATTAAGAAATTGAAGAAATCGTTCGCGAAAGAAGGAATGGCAGCTGTTTGCAATGCTTCTCGGTGAACTACGGCTCTGCGAAGTAAATGCTGCTCCATCTGAAAGCATGTGAAAATACCACATTTAATAACATATTTTTATTCCAAACTCACTTCATAACATCAGTCGGGTGTTTGAAATAAATCCTTCTGTGAGATGATGTGGCTTCTTACACAGAATAAGGCACGCAACATATTTCATAGTATTCAAAGCAGTGATAAAGGCATTGCATTATAAATATACTTTATTTTAATGAAAATTATAATAATAATAATAACTCAGATAAACCATATATTGTCAAAGTCGTGTGTTTATTAGTCACGTTGAATCAATGAAAGCAGTTAAACCTTCTGTTTATTCAGCTAGCGTTACAGGGATTGGGTTTCTTCTGCGGGGTGTATTTGGAGTTTCTCTGCTGATCACAACTGAAAGATACGCATGACAATCGCAGCTTCTGTCGAATCGCGATTTGGATTCCATTTCGATTTTTTCATGCAGCGCTAACCATAGATGCTGCATTTTAGAAACACACTCGCATTAGCATTAAGTAGTTTATTTGTAATTTGATGCAAAGGTAATATAATACAAATACTAGTGTTATAAATGTACATACATTAAAAAAAATACAAATATGAAAAACTTTTGAGGATTTACGATGCTGATGACCATTAAACGCATCATCACAGTCTTGTGAAAAGGGTCCATAGTTTATTCTAAATTGTGTTTTTTTTTTAATTAAAAAATCTTGATAACATTATAAGTGGACCTCAGAGAACAGTACAAAATAAAAACAAAGGCAGTTCATGACCCCTTTAAAATTGGGATCTGGGTTTTCACTGACATCTTTTAGTGTAGCCTATTGTGATCTCAAATACTATTCTTTACAGAGCAATACATTAAAAGTGCCTTTATGCAGGCTACCAAATTTGGAAGTTGCATTATGTATGCAAGTATGCATCAGTCGCCTACTGTACTCTGCTTTAGCCTACATGCTTCTCATAAACATCATCTGATCTTTCAGATGAGCAAACTGGAATAAACAGCTCTGATCACTAGCAATATAGAAATTATTTATAAAATAGCATTCAAAACCTCTAATACACATGAAATATATCAACAATTCCTTGTAAACTTGTAGACTCTTCACATTTAAAAGTAAACGGCCACAAATGCTACGACTGGTAGTAAATAAGTGATTAAGGACCAATATACGCATTGAGATGAGATGATGGTGATGTGTCTGTCCCTCCCACTGATATGTTCTCAGTACGAGAGACGCGCTGCGTCGCGCATGCGCACACGGCTCAGTGTTCGCGAAAGGAAAAAAGGCGAGCACAACAGCATCGGTCTGCCTATGGCCGAACAAGCCACGGCGCTGTGAAATATCACAACAAAGAGAGAGTCTGACTGTAAATAATACAGGTGGAAGCGACCGAGCAGGTAAGATATCACGTCAGAAATCTCAGCTCGTGAGGAAAGGTGTTTTTGTTGCATAGCAGCTGGTTGTAAGGACTGGTTGCACGAACAAAGCGGTCCTGACAGCAGAAGAGATACAGTTGATTCCCTTTAACAGTCGTTAAAAGCCTGTGTACTATTTAAAGGACCTGTAGACAAGCTTAACCGCCTTTAATAAAACCAAACGGGGACCATTATACGAACCCAAGCCTCTGGTGAAATACACGCGTTTTGTTGTCATCGCAAAGTCAGTAATGTGGAGAAATCTATCTACCCTTTCCTTCTTTCTGTCTTATTATCAGGGGAAGCGCCGCATGGCTCTTCATATGAACGTTGTGGCTTGAAAGGAGAACAGTATGTTTACATGAGGGCTCGAGACAGAGCACTGACCGTTGAAAGATTCGCAGAGTCGGGTTGCGTTGATCGGTGAAGACATTGCCGAAGATGCTGAAGAGATTGGCCGCGCCGGCGTCATGCAGCAGCTGCCTTCTTGCCTTCCTCCTCGCCTTCGTCTCGCCCAGGTGTACGCTGTCTATCGGTGCCGACAAAACTATGGTGAACAAGGAGGATTATTATAGCGCCACGGTCAACGCCACCGTTCTGAACCATAAAGGCAATCCTCAACAGATGGTGACGAAGAATGACGGGCGCTACGGGCAGAATTCCCCCAAAACAGAGGCGAAGGGGATCGTGATAGCACCTGCTGCTGTTAATGGGGGTGAGTGTGTTTGTGTATATGTACACACACACACACACACACATATATATATATATATTGATATTTTAAACAGGTGTACAATTTTTTTTGCTTTACAGCTCTTCACTTATCAGAGTTAATAGTAACTCGTATAATAATCCTGTTGAGGGAAAGGGCATCTTGAAGCAGTGTTGAGATGATTTGCAGGTCCTCTCTGGTCTCCTAGTCAAGGTGAACTGGGCTGCGTTTCCCAAAAGCATCGTAAGCTTAAGTACATAGACCCATTGAAACAAATGGAGCTACGATCAACTTAAACTTGCGATGCTTTTGGGAAACGCAGCCCTGGTCTTCAGCTGGTTTAGCAATGCGGCCAAAGTAACTTAAAACCACACTGGCTGGAAAATGCCCAAAACCCTTGTGGAACCAGATTGGTTAGGCTAAGAGACCAGATAAACCGTCTTAGGCATGGAATATGTTCATCTTGGGCCAGTAAATTACCAGCTAATGACCAGGTTGAGCCAGCTAATGACTAACCAGCTAGAAACCTTACATAGGACTTTGTCCATAATTTTATGGATGTTGATACTGTATTTTTGTCTATATGATGAACCTAATACATTTTATGGTTTGTTTTTATTGTCACATTTGCAAATATGTTAAAATCCATCTTGCTTTATGAAAGAGAACAGTTTTGAGAGTGATTTTAGTAAAGTGTGGGCTTGCAGATCAGAAACTTCCTGTGATATTTGACATCTTCACATGACTGCCGTGTCATTTCCTCTGTTGTGCTCAAACAGAGGAGAAAACTGATGTTGAATATTTCCTACATGAGAAAGCTTCTGAAAAAGTCTGCTGGCCGTTCAGTGGAGTTTCTTCATTTTTCTTACCCTGGATACTGACAGTTGCTTTCTGTGTATGAAACCTTTTCATGGTCTCATACACAGAATCATGAGGCTGATTCTCTTGTAAGGATTCAGTAAACAAAACTGTACAACCTTCGTACTATTTACTTACATAACCTCCCCTGATGAGGCCCTGCACCACTTTGTGCTCTGTTCTGAAAAGTCAGTGACGTAGGGGATTAGGGACACAAGTGTGGCTTGCTTTGTTTGCAATGCCATCCCTTGCCCTCGTCTGCACTAAATTAGCAGCTCTTGTGTCTCAGAGCATGTGTAAGGTGGCCCGCTTGATGCCAGCCAATGTTGCGCAATTGCTTAGCAAACTCGTGTTTAATAATCCCAGTACCGTCTATGCTCTTTAAGGCCATGGCTGCTGTCTGTGGCTGTCTTTATCAATCTCTCTTTTTTAGCTGACACATTTAGGCAAATTCATCTCCATTAGCTGCAATTGTTATTAAAAATTTTGCTGAATCGTTTACTTTTTCCTAGATCCTCTTGTATGTATTGAATGGCTTGAGGGAAGTGCAATATCTATAATCATTCTTAGGTTGGCTGGTGTCGTCTTCCAGTGTTCGGATGTATATTTCTCTCTCCCTCACTATCCCAGTTGTTCTTTTATACTCTGCTTGTTCAGGTTACAGGATGCTCAGAAATCACCAGAAATCCTTGAGACTGAGATTCTGTAAATAAATTATTAATCAATATGTATAGCACTATTAGAATGCTTCTTGAGGTGCTGGGCACTTTGACTTGGTTTAGTGCCATTGTGGTAAGACTAAGAAAGATGGATTTGTCGATATCAACCATTGCAATCCATACTGCTGATCGCAGATTTTGAGTTCTGTTTTTAAGGCTTGTTTTTGATGAGTTCAGCAGGGCAGTTTTCTGTCGTGTGTTCATTCCTCATTGTACCAATTTTAGCTTACATGCTGTTCTGGTTAACTTAGTGTGTTGAATTGACCTGAAGCAGTTGTCTGACCTACTGGTCATTATGCCAGTGAATCCAGTGGAGGTCATTAATCCTGATCCAGTCAGGAGCTGGAACAGGGACACCGGGCTCTATATTTAATGTGAAATATGTTCTCAAGGACATTAGCACATCCATTCCCCCATTTGAAATGAGCAAAGATACTACCCCCAAAAAGACAATAGCTAAAGAAGACATTCATTTAAAAGTGTGCGTGCACAGTAAATCTAAAGCTAGACTTCCACAAGTTATTCTGCTTCTTTTATTGCCATCTCAATTGGATCTGAGGCAAAGTAATGATTCTTAGCAGAAGATTGTGTAAAAAGAGACCAGAGTCTTGACATAAAGCAGTAACACCCACTTCCTCTGTTACTCTAATCACTTTCAGGTCAGGATATTCTCTCTCTCTCTCTCGCTCTCTCTCTCTCTCTCTCTCTCTCTCTCTCTCTCTCTCTCTCTCTCTCTCTCTCTGAGGATGGCTGTATTTGTGATTTCACTATAGCATAATAATTCCTGAGTGGTTCAGTACTACTGATCAGCTGGCCAAGAATTTTCTCCCAAAGGAAGGAATGTTTGGCATGTTATTGCTCTCAGCTGCATACATTTAAAGAGGAAGATGCGTGGGTTTGGGCTTGTCTTGTCTTTGTCACATAGTCTTTTGGAGTGTTAAATAACACTGATTAAACTGATCATGATTCTCCACAGTGGGCACTGCGGTAATACTAATTACATGGCTACGTGACAAAAAATAGCTTATTTTATATGAAATTGAAATCCGAATGAAATCAAAATGGACAATTCTTGTATTTTATGGAATATTTATTATAAATGATTTATCTGTGCACATCAATATTTTTTTTAATACATGTGCCCTTGTAACCTTTAATTAAAAAAAACATTAAAACGAATTAACAAATGGCAATGATTCAGTCTATGTCCAGAGGACATAGATATGACTCATATGCACCATAAGGAAGAAAAGTTGTTTGATGGTGGTTTTAAGTTTGACTGAAATAATAATAGTAATAGCCTATGTGCTGTTTTTTAGAAAGTTCTTATTGTTCTTATTTGTTCTTATTTACTGTTGTTAACGCATACACCGTCTGTCTGCCGCGACCCATGTTACATCAAGCATACTCAGATTTGTGGTTTCCGTCATTTTTACATTTATTTGCATTTTTTTCTGTCACTACTCACTAACTAGTCATAGTATCGACAGAATTACAGTATTTATTCTTGAACCTGGGCATATCGCAATTCATACGTGTTTAACATTTATATTTCTTAATGCAAACAGCCGTAAATGCATTCATTCTGCAATATGCGCATGCTGCACTTAAAAATACTATCCCTGAATTTAAGTACATTCAGCATTTGGCAGATCACAGGTTTAAGACAAATATCGGCTGATATCGATCAGTCCATCCTTATTTACTTTCATTTCACTTATAAGCCATACAAGAACAGGTTTTTGAAACCTTGATAACTGTCAATCACCAATAACGTTTGAGCTCCAGCACTAAACAAAATATAAGATTGTGCCGTATTTGTCTTTGAAAATCTATCACTATAAGCCTCAGTGAGCCTGTCTTATACAGAAAAAACAAGCAGCTCACTGCTTCCTGTTTGACTGCTTCAAGATTATATTTCCTCAGGAGCCTGACCTCAATGTATTCGACTGACCTCTGTTTATCTCTTCTCCTGCCCCTCGGATAGCTTACCAGTGGCTCATCAGTCTAAACAAGGAGGTGAGCACAAAAAATATTATTTTGCTCTTGGTTCACCCCATTGAATGAGAGAAAAGGAGAAACAGACAGAAGGAGTGCAGGTCTTGTGACTCACCATTTTCTGTTTCACTCAAATCTCAGTTTCCCCACCAGCTGCTCCTATCATTAGGGGTCTGGCAACATAACAAACCACACTTAGCTAATGGGTAGTGAGACAGAAAATTACCTGCCAATATGCAGAGGTAACTTAGTGTCCAGTAAAGCCAGTCCAGCAAAGCCCCTAATCAGACATGAAGCATCAAGCCAAAGAGCTACTGTAGCAGCCCCAAACAAGACTGTGGCTAGTGGGAAGTGATGCATATTTGTGGTGATAAGCATCCTGTTGCATGATTTCCAGTGCATAGCGATTTATGACACTTGAATAAGCCCAAATGGCAGTATATGACCCCGACATAAGGGCTAATTAGATTCGCTCCAGGTCATGCGCACGACAAGTGCACCAATGGGCAAGTGTCCCCATGGTCCATCTTTATCAAGTAGGCTAATACTTTTCCTTTAGAGTTTTTGTAGATTAAAAAAGTATTAATTGTGTAATTTAAAAAAGTTAGCTAGAGATCTAAATTTGAACAGACACTATCTGTATGTGTTTCTTTTCTCATATACTGTAGGTTATTCTTTATTTAATTTTCTGTCTTGTTGAAGAGACTATAATAAGAGAAAATGGTGGCTTGAGTGGTATTATCCCATAAATATTATACTCACAGATATTGGATATTAAATTGGAGTTTTTTTCAATTGGAGTTTGTTTGAAGCGTTCCATTTCGTATTGTCAAGACATTTTAATTTCTTCCTTCCCATCCTTCTTAAAGAAATAGCCTAGTTCACCCAAAAAATAAAAAATTTCTGACAATTTACTCAGCCTCAGACCATCCAATGTATAGATGAGTTTGTTTCTTTGTATTTGGAGAAATTTAGCATTACACTAATGCATCCTCTGCAGTGAGTGGGTCATCAGAATGAGAGGCCAAATAGCTGATAAAAACATCACAATAATCCACAAAACTCATCTTTATTTTGGATGGCAGATTTTTCGATAAATATTTGAACTATTCCTTTAAAGTGCAGGGTAAAAAAATGGTAACCTAAAAATAGTAATATCTCAATTAAATTGAAAAAAAACAAAAAACATTTTAATATTGAATCAGCTTAAATACGTTAGTTTATACCAACGAAAAACAAAGTTTTTATTGGTTAAATAAGTTGAAGTTAGCAACTGCAGGTTGCAGTGTGAGAGGGGTTTTTAAGTCTCATGTGACGTGTAAACAGTACATTGATTTGCTGTTACCCAAATAAGAACAGCAAAATCCATTTGTTGAAAGAAACAGATGAAAGAATGGACAGGAACCATGTGACGTGCCATATGCTTCT